CCCCCCGCCGCGCTTCCCCTGCCAGCGGGAAGCGTGCGGGAAGGAGGGATGGAGGAAAGGAGATGGTGCCTGGCTGGGGAGGAAGGAGCGCTGACGCTGCGGGCACAGACCCAGCTGGCTGAAAAACCCCCCCGGTATCGCAAAGAAACCCCCTCCCCGCCGACAAGCAGCTGCTCACCAAACCCGTTCTCAAATTCCACAACAAGCAACGGAAAAAAATGACGCCTTCTCCAAGCCGCCGCCGTTGCCGTACACCTTGTTTCGCTCGGCGCCGGCAGATAAAATCAGGTTTGAGCCACATGCCTTAAGCACGAGGCGCTGAGCCGGGTTTGGAGCCTGACCTTTACGGCGGCGCGGCGCCGCGCGCTCTGCCGAGCACCGGCGGCACCGCCGAGGGTGGGGGAGAAGAGAGAGGAGGAAGAGGAGGAGGAAGAGGTTTTCCTGGCTGGGGATGGGAAGGAGGGCTGGAGGGGCTCCGGTATGGCCGGGCTGCTCGGCGGAGCGTGGCGAGTGGGTGGCACACGTGGGGTGCAGCCAGGCGCCCCGGCGCCGGAGCGGGCAGCTGGGCACAGATGTGGGGAGAGCAGCCGCGGGACGTGCGCCGAGCTGCCACCGGGCTCGGGCACCTGCAGGTGACATCACCAGCACTGAAAATCACCAGAACTCTGCTCGCCTCGACCCCTCTCCCACCCAAAGGGTGACTCTGGAGGCTGTCAGGCATCGCCTTGCCCGTGCCTCGGGTCTACATCCCCTGCGCTGGGCAGGGACCACACCTGGGTCCTCCACGTCCCGGGTGAGCATCAAGCCCCTGAATTTAGGAAAAACAAACCAAAATGGAGCCTTTACTCCTCCACCAGCTTGCTCCGTGTCCTGAGGGGCTGCTGTGGACACGCAAAGGTTATACACGTATAAATAGGGTTGGTTTCTTCGAATAATATGAACATATACGTACATATATTTAAAAGTTTCATAAAGTTGTAGAACATCTGGAGTTGGAAAGGACCCGTAAGGGTCATTGAGTCCAGACCATCCCTATGCACAACATCATTTTTCTTCATCCCTCCGCAGCGGTGATGGTGACGTGGTGACGGACCCAGGGACGGTCCCTCAGCAGCAGCAGCCTCTTCTGCTGAGAAGGGTCCCATTGTAACCCGAGTGGTCCCTGGGCCGGGGCTGGGGCATCCCCTGGGGTTGTCCCATGGATTCTTTGCTGGCCCTGGGTAATTTTTTACCCAGTTAACGGACCTTTCAAGTCGGGTGAAGTTGGTTGTGGTCCCCAATGGGGCTGAGTGACGTTGCCTTAGGGTGATGTCGCCTTTGGGTGACATTAATGCCTCACCTGTATGGGAACCAGGACCACTGCTTCATTAGCGTGTGTCTAACTAATTAGCAAGGTGCTTGCAACTTTTAACAACCTCAAAGTTGGGTTTTTTTAATGTCTTAGCGGCTACGATTAAGAAATTTGGCCCCTGCCGAGCAATGATAGGGAGATATTGGTGGCAGCAAGGGCTTGGCCAGGGATACTGGGTGCTGAGATGCCACCAGCAAGCCACGGAGGAGCTGGGAGAGAGCAAGCCCCCGACCCCAGCGGGGGGCCCCGGCTTGCCACCGAGGCACGACACAACAGCAAAGGGCGAAAAGTGAGTAAACTTGGGTTTTCTGCAGCAGAAAAAGCGAGCCACCCACGCGCCAGGAAATCTCTCCTCTCCGCGTGGGTGGTGGGGGCCCCGAGATGAGTTATCTCTAAAGGGCGGCTCTGGGGATACCTCGAGATCTTCATCAGCGTGGATTCGGTGCCAGCCGAGGAGGAAATATCAGCGTCGCCAGCTGGGGCTTTGGGTTTTTGCGTCGCTGTTTTTTTTTGTCTTTTTTTTTTTTTTTGGAAAAAGCTCTTTTTTAGCAGCTCCTTTTAAAATCAGTTAGAAAATAGGAGCATCCATCCCCTCCCAGGTCATCTCTCCAGGGACCCCATCCCACAGCCGTCACACTGCTCATCTCCTCCTGGGATGGTTTTACCCTTTATCCGTCCTGCTTTCCCATGGGATGGTCGTGCTGGGGGATGGCAGGAGCAGGTGCCCAGTACAGGGACTTCTCTTTAAAGCCTTATATTTAGTGGAAAAAAATAATTTAATGGAAAATAACAGGGCATGGGCAGCCTGAATCCAACCCTGCACTGGTACAGGCAACCAGGATCCCTTTAGCCATTCCCACCAGTGACCCCATCTCATCTCTCTGCTCCTTGCCAAGGCTCAACGATGATAATTCTTGCCAACACCTAATTCTACCATATATAACGATGTGAAACTCCTACACCCACGCGAGCTCCTTCTCCACTCGCCGAAGGAGGGGTGAGAGGGAGGGGGAAGCTGACATTTAAGATGCAGAGGCTCCCACCCGCCTGGTGGCACAGCTGGCGGGGAAACATCTGTGCAGCAAATAAATCACTACCCTGAGGTGGGGTACGCAGAAATTTTAAGTGGGTACAAACAACATCGTGCTCATAATAACACAGTGGCATATGCTGCTCCTAAAAGTGCTGCTGCATTATGAGAAATTGAATACATATTTACTATATATTATTTTTTATATATTAAAAAATATATTTTACTACATAAAAAAAAAAATATATATATTTTACTATACAAAATGCGTCCAGGGCAGGTTTGCTGTGAGCAACGGGGAGAAAAGCAAGAGCTCGATGTGCGAGCCAGGAGGAGGAGATAATCAAACATATAATTAAACAGGGAATTACCAAAAAAATGACACTTTTTCTGGCATCAACACCCCTCCAGCCATCACAGAGGGAAAAATAGCCCTGAAATAAGAGTGAGAGGTGGAGAGATTTATGAGTCTGTGGTTTGTCTCCCTCCTGTGGATAGATGCACGAATAAAATAATCAAAGCCCTCACCTCCTCCAAGGGTTCTACTGGTTAAAACATCCTTTTTTCTATCTCTTTTATGAGATTATAAACCAGGGCCCTGCATGAAGGTGACTGTGAGCAGCAGTGGGATAAATGCATCCCACTCTCCAGCTTCTCCGTAGGTTAAATCCACGCATCACTCGTACGCCGTGTGAGCGAGGAGGATTTGCAGGCAGCGCAGCCGGGCTGAAAAACCCCAAATGCCATATTTTCATCGAGCATTAATTTCCCCCTGCAGCACTGCTGGCTCTCCTCTCCTCTGTACATAATTATCTTTCCAGGACCCATCACTCCTGGTCAGCGCTCTTTGTTTCATCCACAAACGGGAAGAAGGTCTTTGGTGAGAGAAGCATCTCGGTGCTGGGATCATCCCGGCAATGCTGTGCCACCAGCCATCCATTAATCATCATTTTTAAGACACCAACCCAGAGCAGCACCAGGCTGCTGGTAATTGAAGTTATTTCGAGGTTGAACATTTGACAAAACAGCTCTGAAGTCAAGCCAGCCTCACGAGACTCGTGGAGGGAGCAACGATTCCGCGCGCTGGTGTCCGACCACTGTAATTAAGGGAGGTAAAAATAGATAAAAGGGAGCAGGGGCCACTTTTAAAGGAACGCTTTCCTGGCGTATTCCCCGGAGTATTTTCACAATATTCCACCACAGTAAATGAAAACAAAACCTCACAGCGAGCAGAAAACAACCCTTTCGATTCCAGTAAGATTTGCCTCCTGGTTTTCCCTCCCCGCCTCTAATAATTATGCGGTGGCTGCTCAGAAGTGAGTTTAACAAAAGGAGCGAGTGTGATTTCAGTCCTATCTAATCTAATCCTAATCTGCAAACCTCTGTTCCTTTCAGAACTCCGAGATAAAGGGCAGCACGGGTGTAATTTTATTTATTTTTTTTTTCCCCCCCCACAAAAGCATAGAAAGATGCGAGTTACCGCTCCTGCAGCTAACCCCGAGAACGTTTATTTTTAAAATGAGTTATTACAAAAAGATTTCCCATCAAGAAAAGACCAATCCTCAGTAACTGTGCAAACCAAACGCTTATTTCCGCGACCGCTTGTGCTCGATGAGCAACACGACGAGTCTGTTACGAAGGAACTTGATCTCCTTTGCGTACGACTTGCAAAATAAATCCTTCAGCTTTTGGCGCAAAGCGCCCAGGGCGGGCAGGCTGTGGCACTGGGGGATGTTCAGCATGCTCTCAAAGAACTCTTTCCACACTTCAGCGTTGGCAAGCCTGCAAAGGAACAAAAACCCTTCAGAGAAACTTCTAGATTTAAGCGGTGAAAATCTTTCCTGTATTTAATTTTCTTCCAGTATCTCAAGGGGGCCTACAAGAAAGATGGGGAGAGGCTGTTCAGGAGGGCCTGTTGTGATAGGACAAGGGGTAATGGTTTTAAAATAGAGGGAGGTAGATTCAGGTTGGATATTAGGAAAAAATTCTTGACCATGAGAGTTGTAGAACACTGGCACAGGTTGCCCAGAGAGGTGGTGGATGCTCCATCCCTGGAGACGTTCAAGGCCAGGGTGGACGAGGACCTGAGCAACCTGATCTAGTTGGAGATATCCCTGTTCCTTGCAGGGGGGTTGGACTAGATGACCTTTGAAGGTCCCTTCCAGCCCTAACCGTTCTATGATTCTATGATCCTATTTACCCCGC